CCAACTATACACAGTGAAAATCAAACAAGCCTAAAAAATAGAATAAGAAAATATATAGAGAAAATAAAATGAGCAGTAGAAATATAACTAATGTGTTCAGAGAAATATAACTTTCAGAGAAAATTACCAATGACAGAAAATTATAATAAATAGAAATTTCTTTGAGTTATGTTGACACAAGGACATAACTTTTTGTGGCTCAAGATTTTCACTGACCTTGTGGTTGAAGTTGTGTTGGTGTTCGGTATGGTTGTGTTGCTAGTTGGACATATAGTTCTTGAACTTATTCATGCAATTTAGCATTTTCAGTTTCAAGCTCCAAATTTAAACACCTCAATGTTGAATTGTTTTTGTATCGTCTGCTTTTTCAACCTCCAACATCCTTAGTTTCATTTGGATTGTGCTTTCTTAAGAGAAAATTGATTACAATGGCAGAAATAGACCAGTGGTAACCAAAGAAGAAAACATAAATTGATAGTTCAGAGAAAATTGATCTTAATCAATCAATGCATAAGGAGGGAAACAAAGTAGTGGTCAGAGAAATTTTGGAATTTCACTGAGATTTCAGTAGCAATAGGAATCTAACCTGTCGAGGTGCAAGAGAGTGGACTGGTATCTTCTGCAGCTGTTTCGTTAAGGTTTGCAGGTTTCACTTGGCACATCTTGGGAAGTCAGCTGTGTTACTGTCTTCCGAGTCAATGATAGTTGCATGTTCACATAGCCAATACAGTGATGAAAATTAAAGTAAATAAAATTTTCTAAACGCACAAATTTGTAAGTATGATAACTACAAATTTGAATGGATATTATACTTACCAGCAATGCAATGACACACCCCGTAACTTTTTCTGGAGTTTTGTGCAATGCCATGATAGAATCAATCAATGTTGATGTGATTGCTTCCGGCCAATCATATTGTTTCATTGATTCAAGAGGTTCCACATACGTTATAAAAACCTAACCTATTGAATTCTCACTTGTTGCAAAAAATAGGGTGAGACACAAGTACAATGTAACAATGATTGCTACATCTTTGAAGTCGGTTGGTTGCTTGCCTTTCATTACTTTGACTAAGGCATTTTTAAGAACAGGACCAGTGAGTCTTGTGTCCTCTTGGAATCTTCTCCTGAGGAATGCAGATTTGACTTTTCAGAGTATCTTAATGACATGGCTCTTTTACCTCATTCCAAACCAAAAATCAAGGTCATGTTATTTGTTGTAAAGGTCAGGTTCTTCTTACCAACTGTGAATGCTTTTGTTTTTTCATTGTAACATTGGATTATAACAACTACATCATCATCGGATTTCCTAGATTTCTTTGGATCCATCCTTCCAGTGGTTGGAGCTTGGATCAAATACTAGAACGGGGTCTTTTGAAGCTCTAGAAGTTGTTTTGAATTGAATTTAAGTGTTTGAAAAAAAGAGACGACAGATGAGAGGTTGGATCGGAATTGAATGCTGTAGTGAGCTCTCTTTCTGTGGAGTTTAACAAGTTTTTTCCCCTTTGAGCTTGAGTCTTTTGAAGTTGGGGTACTCATCTGGATGCTAGTTGCTTTATCACCTTGGACTTGTGTGTTTTGGTGAAGAGTTTGTGGTGTTTTGCTGCTGGTTTTTGATCTTAGATGATAAGAAGACCGAGAGAGTTGTTCTTTCTTGCTTGGTGTTTCTAGTGTTTTGCTGCTGGTTTTTTATCTTAGCCCATAAGAAGACTGAGAGAGTTTTTGTTTTTTGCTTGGTGTTTCCGGTGTTTCGCTATTTTTACGTTTTGCCATTTCTAGACAATGATTAAAACATAAAGATGTCAACATTAAATCCCAGAGAAAATTGAACATGCCAGAGAAAATTGGACATGTCAGAAAAAATTACAGATAAGAGAGAAAATTACAGAAAAGAGAAAATTGGAGATACCAGAGAAAATTACAGATAAGGAAAAATTACAGAAAATTGGACACGCCAGAGAAAATTTGACATGCCAGAGAAAATTGGACATTAAAAATTAAATGTCAGAGAAAATCAACACAGCATCATAAACATGGGAGATAAATTTTCAATAATTGTTAAAATTACATATAGAAGTAAACATACCAGAGAAAATGAATGATAGAAAAAAAGTAAACATAGCAAGTGAAAGAAAATTTCCATTCCATAATTAGCAAGATAAAATAAACAAAGTAATGTAAATATGCCACTGAAAATTACACCATATTGAAACCAAGAATTGAATAAAATAAACATACCAGAGAAAAATACACGTTCTGGAGAAAGTTACACATTCTTGAGGAAATTTCCATTCCAGAGAAAATTTCAATTCATAATATTAAAATGTAAGAGAAATTTACATACACAACCAGAGAAAATTAACCATGATAGAGACACACAAGGGAGGAAAGTGGTGTGATGTGATCAGAGAAAATTATAAATACCAGAGAAACTTAGACAGAGGCAAGGGAGTAATAGACATTGTAGAGAAAAATACATATTCCAGATAAATTTACAAAGCAGAGAAATTCATAGACAAAGTCATAGAAACATGTTCAAGAATAAGATCAAAATACAGAGAAATAATTTTTTCTCAAAATACACATGGCAGAGAAAATTCAAAGAAGAAACATTCATTCCAGTCCATAATATTAAAATTCCAGACAAAATTAAAAATGATAGAGACACACAAGGGAGGAAAGTGATGTGATGTGGTCAGAGAAAATTATAAATACTAGAGAAACTTAAACAAAGGCAAGAGAGTAATAGACATTCCAGAGAAAGATAGACATTCCGATTAAAAATACATATTACAGAGAAATTTACAGAGCAGGGAAATTTATAGACAAAATTATAGAAACATGTTCAAGAATAAAATAAAAACACAGAAGGTTATTTTTTTGAAAATAAACATGACAGAGAAAATTGAAAGAAGAAACATACATCAAGCAAAAATCAGAAAAATTCAAATGCCAGAGAAATTTACAGATAAAATCACATAAACATGTTCAAGAATAAGTTCAAAACACACAGAAATAACTTTTTCCAAATTCAGGTAACTTTTTATTACGAAATTGAAACCCTAATTTATGAAAGGTTAATATAAAATGCTATTAACTGTGTTTTTAGAGAAAATCTAGTTGTATTGTAGAAAAACTGACCAGAGTTAGGATGAAACTTGAATGACAAGCTGATATGGCCTGAGATAAAGATGCGACGTGACGAAGGTGGACTGAGATGACGATGAACAGTGAAAACGAAGCTTTAACGAAGGTCAGAGAAATTTGTGAGGAAGGAATGAGAATGATTTTTGCAGAAGATAACGAAGCTCTAATGTCGATGGTGAAGATGATGTTGAAACCTTAATTCTGCTGTTTTCCTGTTCGTGAAGATGCTGGATGTTTGAAATGGAACTCAGACGTCGGAATGAGTTTCATTTCTGTGTTGATTTTGGCAAGGGTATTTTGGTCCACAAAATAATTAAAAACGCGTGCCAAGTTGTTCAGGGACCTGATGCATCACTATTTTTTTGGGTGTCCTTTATTCTCTAAATTATTATTATTAGGGACCTTAAAAAAAATTCCCCTATTTAGAATAGGGATCTCGATTGACTATAGGAAATATTTTATTTTATTATACGTAATTTATTGACATTTTCATTTAAGCAGTGTTACATATAAATAAATTTTTATTTGATTTTCTCATTAATAAGAATGGCAAGAAACTCCTTTATATATATTGTTTTCATTTAATTTGCATGTTTGATTGCTCGAGAGCACTATATATTTGAATGTTATGATAATTTTATTAGAAAAATAGCTTGTAGCTCGAAATCCCCCAGGCTCGAATGGCTCGAAATCAAAACGTCGTCGTTTTGATTTTGATTTTTTTTTGTTTTTTTTTTTCTCTTTTATCTGTGAAACGCAAGAAGAAAGGGAGAAAGGGAGGGAAGGTGGGAGAAAGAGAGAGAAAAGAGAAGAAAGGGAGAGAAAGGGAGAAAGGACCGATCTGATCTTCTTCTTCCACGATCTGATCTTCCTCTTCCATGATCTTTCTCTTCCACTCCGCCCTCGCCATCACGCCATCACCGGCGACTGCCATCACCGGCAGATCTGTTTTCTCTATTTATTTATTTATTTTTCTGGATCTGACGATGAAAGAAAAAATTTAAAAAAAAATTATTGGTTGATGATGATGATGTTGATGAAGATGTTGTTGTTGTTGATGAAGATGTGTTGATGAAGATGTTGTTCTTGATTTTTTTATTTTTTTATTTTTATTCTAGTAGATCCAGATCTGAAGGTAAAGAAAAAAAAATATTGGCTGATCTCTGTTCTGTTTGTTGTTGTTGTTGATGATGCTGATATGTTGTTGATGATGATATTCTCTTCCTCCTCATTTTCTTCTTCTTCTTCTCCCTTCTTTCTTCTTTTCGGCCTTCTTTCTTCTTCTCCTCTGTGTCTGAGTCGGAAAGGTTGAAAACAAAAAAAATAAAAAAAAATTCAAAACGACGTCGTTTTGGTATTTCGGACCACTCGAGCCACGAGAAATTCGAGCTACCAAACAGGTTGATTTTATTATTATAATAATGTGTATGTAATTGAAATACTTTTTAAATGTTGATAATTGATTTTATTAATGAGAAATCAAATTAAATATTTAGAATCACAAATTAAATCATTATTCTCTTCTACTAGAATCACAAATTAAATCATTATGTCACTTCTACTATTAAAGGAGTATTGTTTTTGCTATTTATAAAATATCATTATGTACAAATTATTATTTATTATTGCATATGTTGTAATATATATATATATAAATATTTTTTTTAAATAAATAATTTAACTAATTTTTTTTGAAATATATATATATATATATATTTTTGTTGATGGCCACGTGTGACGCCAACGGATGGATGGGGGATATTTTTCAATCGGTTACCTTACCAATTAGCAACCTATCCATGAGATGAGAGATATCTTGTTTGTTGGAAAGACACAAGAAGAGTGGCCTCTGTTCACCTCTACTTTTTCTGAGTCTGTTTTGTAGTTGTAGAAGTGTATCGTCGCTTCTTCTTTTTTTCTTTTTTTTTTAAAAAAATTTTGTTGTTAGTTGAATAAAGTAAAAAAGAAAGAAAAATGGTGTATCCGTCTTCTTTTGTTGTTAGTTGAATAAAGTAAAAAAGAAAGAAAAATGGTGTATCCGTCTTCTTCATTAGTGCATAATGCATCAGACGAGTCTTCGCCGGAGAAGCAGAAAAGTGCGGTGGTTGAGAAGCAGCAGCAGCAGCAGCAGCTAGCACTAGTGTCCAAATGTCTATTGCTTTCTTCTTCTTCTTCGTTTTATTGCCCATTTAATATTCATCAAACACCATTAGTGATCTCCACAAAACCCCCAAACTCCAAACCCAACTTCCAAGTCCAAGTCCAAGTAGCAGCAGCAGCACGCTTCGTTCGTGACCTCCACAACTCAATTGTCTCCACTGCTGATGGATGTCTCAGATTCTTACACTCATTCGCTTCCCACTCTCCTCCGCTTCTTACCAAACTCTTCTCTTTACCTTCTCATGTTCACAATTTTTCCCAGGTAACAATCTCTCTCTCTCTCTCTCTCTCTCTCTCTCTCTGCATCATACATACATACGAATACTCTGTCCCTATATTCAGTATATTTTCCATGCTTACATTTCCCAGATTCGCAATATATATGGAAAAATTCACTTTTGCCCACTCAAAACTATCACACTTGAATCACCCATGAATTGTCAATTTGAACAATTACTCACATTAGTTGATTTTATCCCAAACCCTTAATGGACTTAATGTTTTGTGATGAAATATCGCCTCTGACAACACAAGCGCCTGATTGATTAATTGAGAGTATTGAAGGCAAATATTCATAAACTAATTGTTTTAGTAAAACACAAAATATATGTAATTACATAATTACTCCCTTTGGATACAACTAAATTAAGCAAATCACATGGACAAATATTTTTGTGTGCCAGAAAGTGTCAAGTAAAACTTTGTTGTCAGTTTGGTAAAGTGAACTACTATCAACAGCTCAAGAGTAATTGTTCAAATTCAAATTGATAATTTAGGGGTAAAGTGAAAGTTCAGTATCACCTCCTGTGCAACATATATACATATAAAGCCAGCTACTTTCATACCAGAAGCAGCTTATGGATTAAATCTGCTATATTGTATGGTATTCACTGCCCTCTTCAATAATGGTTGGTCAGAAGATTTGGGTAGGGTCATGGTTACAAGTCCTCTCCACGTGGAGTTGTACCATTTGCGTTCATTTGTAATTGCATATCTATAATTACTTTATATCACTACTCTCACATTCATGGCAATTTCAATTTGACTTTACAAACCAATTCAAGGACCGGCTCTTTTCTCATCCACCGCAACCACTATTTATACATATGTATTTTTACTATCTTCATTTTTAATGAGATTACAGATGAGAGGGGGTCGCCTTTCTCTGTCTGATTCTACTTCATTGAATGAATAAATCAACACTTGTGGAAGTCTATATGGACCTATGGAACAAATGAAACTGAATGCTTCTTGTTTGTATAACCCATGGAGGTAGGGTTACTTGAGTGACAGCGTTGCTATAGGCGCAGTAAAGGAGACCTGTAAACTGAACCCCAAGGGTTGGCTGAGTGGTAAAGACCTGAGGTTAAGATCTAAGGCCTTGAGTTTGAGTGTCCTAAGGGGCCACAGGAGATTTGCTTGGTCATTAACTTCAGAGCCTCCAGGAATTCGTTCTTGACTATCTAGATACGAGGTAACTGAGGCCCAATTGTGCTGGATTTTGGGCGGGAGATACCCTAGATTATCAAAACATAAAAAATAAAAAAGAAAAAAAAGGAAAAAAGAAAAGAAAAAAGGAGACTTGTAAACTGTGTATTGTGTATGTATAAATGTATGGTTATATGTAAATCTATATATACACACATCAAAATGAGGTGTATACATATCTTTATAGATGTGTAACTTAGTATGTGATTAAATTATAAGTTAGGAAATGAGGTTTCATAATTTATCTTTGATTTAGGATTTTCATTTGTAGTGGTCATGGAGGTAATTCTTATTTATTTATTTTGCAAAGAGAATTAGAAGTTGAGGAAGAAGATAAAAAGGTTGTAACCATCTTTTTATCACTAAAGCTAAGGAAGTTAGTGTCGCAATTTAGTCTAAAACCACATGACGGGTGTTTGGCTATTTTTAAAAGTGATAGGGTGAAGTGCTTTGGGGTCATATGATTTGCTTTTATGGTAGCCAAACTGCGTTTACCTTATCAAATGCTTTTATCAATTATATGATGGTTCTAGGGGGCATGGTCAATATTTCATCAAAGGAGCCTCTAGGATTAAGTTATGTCCTTGCTTTGTTGTACTATAACAGCTCTCCATTACGAGTTGATAATGTGCTTTATGAGGAAGTTCCTTATTTCTTAATTGATCATTGGACTTTACTTTCAGATCCATTTGAGAAACTACAGGGATTTGAACTCTCTGTCCAATCACAATTTTGCTGCCATTTTACCTGGTGATTCAGTGGCAGGTGTTGTGGTGGCCAATGGGATTCTCAACTTCTTGAACATCTACAACACACTGTTAATTGTCAGGCTTGTTTTAACCTGGTTCCCTAATTCTCCTCCAGCCATTGTTAGCCCCCTGAGGTATGCTTCTAGATATTTGAAGTTCCTTTGATGCATGAAACATTGCAATTTCATTGATCTAAGCATTGAAAAGAAGTATGTCATCTTCTAGCTTCTATACTATGAACATGGTCTAAAATTTACAGACCACTAACAGAACTCTTTCGGTACCTTTGCTCTAGAATCAAATTGATCTGGTGGTAATATCCTCTTTGAGAAGTTACCTAATAAGAGCTATTGGTTAGATGGTTCTTGTTGTCCTTATGCAGTCTATGATCCTTGGGCATTGTCACAAATAAGTCAGACCAAGGTGGTGGATGCAACAGCATACAACATGCTGCACAAACACACCTCTATTCTATCTCAGATGACATAGACTTCCATCTGAGTGTGGCTAAGATGAGGATGCTAAGGTGGATGTATGGAAGTACTAGACAAGACAGAATTAGGAGTGAGTGTATTCGGGAATAGGTAGGAGTAGCACCGATAGAAGATAAGTTGAGAGAGAATCGATTGAGATGGTTTGATCACATTCAACGGAGACCAACAGAGGCAATAGTGAAGAAATGCGATGCTATAACGGTAGATAGAAGTGTTAGGGGACGGAGTAGGCCTAGATTAACATTGGCTAGCGTTGTAAATAGAGATATGGATCTACTTAATTTGACTAACGAAATGGCCTTAGATAGGGCCGTGTGGAGAAGAAGGATTCACGTAGCCGACCCCATTTGATTGGACTTAAGGCTTGGTTTGGTTTGGTTTGGTTTAGTTATAAGTTTGTAATGAACGGGTGGGGTTTTTGGGTCCCATAAGAACACAAGAACCTTATAATTTCTGAAGTGTGTAAACTCTATTCTAGCTCAGATGGTTGGAGTCTCAAACTCCTTACTATCGGTTGGCCCATAGTCAAGCACCAAATGAACTGCAGGTAAGTGATGAATAAAAAAGAATATCATGCCTTCATAAAGCACAATATTTTTGCTGCCTACAACAAGGCAGAATCCTTTATCATCTTGATAATATCATTTGATTGTACACGTTTTTAACTGGTGTGGTATTTCTTGTTCAGCACTTTGTGTGATCCATACTTGAACATATTCCGTGGCATTATCCCACCTCTTGGAGGGACTTTGGATCTTTCTCCCATACTGGCATTCCTTGTTCTAAATGCCTTCACAAGGTTGGCTGAGTGGTAAAGACCTGAGGTTAAGATCTAAGGCCTTGAGTTTGAGTGTCCTAAGGGGCCACAGGAGATTTGCTTGGTCATTACTGCTGAACTTCCACCGACAGCCATATCTCAAGAATTTCCAACTTCTTTTACAGCAGCATCTAATGTTAGTACATCACAGCAGAAATGGATAAGAAGGCTCTATGGAAGCAAGAGAGAGAGCTCCAGCGGTGGCAATTAGGCCATTTTGTTTGTTTTTAATGAATTACCTTTTTATTTATTTATTTTTCCACTTTCTCAACTGTACTAGTCTCCATGGTGTACAATCTTTGTATCTTATAATTTCTGAGAGGTAGGCATGCCTATTTTGGCAATATTGTCGGCACACAAAACTCTGGAAGTGCTGGAGATGTTCTTTCATTTATACTGATGAGAGTTATTTTTATTTCGTGCAAATCATTTATGTTAATCACTTTTATATTGTTATAGAAGTTGCAACGTGTCTGCATAACATTAAATTATGTGATGTCTGTGGCTTATGGTTACTGGTTTGTGTGCAGTTTTGTCAAACCTGCACTATTTTGTCTTACAGGTGACTGAAGAAGCCTTTTGCAATTAAGTTGTGTAATGATCTTAATAGTAAATGGATACAGGAAAGCCATCTATGCAATTGTCGGGTGATTATTCCATTAGTGAGTTTAGTTTATGGTAGTAACTCTATAAGTAGATAGGCAGTTCTTCATTCCCCTAAAACTTCAAAGATTTAGACCCGGGTTTATAATTTTCCAGGCATAACTTCTCTGGTGTACAGGAAATAGTTTGCTGACTTGTACCCTTCTTTGCCTTGTCACGTGTTGTAGATTTGTTCCTAACCAAGCTACTATTGTTGCAGGTCAACTAGCTCAAGGGGCTTTATTTGTGTTCTTAGCAATGCTATAATTGGTGTGTGTGTATGTTCTTAGCAATGCTATAATTGTTTGTTCACTCGCTGATTTCTTAGGTGCCTTAATCAAATCTTCCTTTTGAAAGGTCCAGCCTGCGTCTGGTTATTTTTCAATACTCTCTCTCTCTCTCTCTCGGTGGCTAAACAATCGTTTAATTAGGTAGGTAGGTGACATGATTGAGGAAACTGGTGCACATTATTGAGCATTTTGAGAATTCATTTTGATTTTTCTGGCATCAGATTCCAAAACAAGGGTGCAACCAGCATCAATTTATGGAGAATAATTATGCTCTCTCTCTCTCTCCAATTATTCAAATCCATCCATCCATCAATCTAATGTCCGAGACTTGAGGAAGAAGCTGCTACTTCCTAATCTTCAAAGGAACCTTTTCTGGCTTCTGGAAGGATTCCATGTGAAGGGAAGGTAACTGCCAACATGATTACCCAATATTATTAAGCTCTTCGGATTGGACTAGACCTTGATGTCTAAGCTGTTAAATGAAGCATAATTAGCTGATTTCAAATGAATATTCCAATTTGACAATAAGATGACACAGAAATTAAGTAGAAGCAAACAAATCTCTCTTTTCCCTTTCATTTTCGTCACTTTAAAAAAAGGAGGAGAAAGAAAAATGATTGATCATGCTTTTGGGGTCCTTTGATTAGATTACTAGGATGAATACTTCATTTATTTAATTTTTCCATTGAGCAAGAAAGTAAATTTAGAAATAGAAAGAAGACATAGAAGCATCTTAAAAGGTCCTCCCAATAAAGAGATTAAAGTAATTCCAAAGCGCCTTCATTTATCTGATGATCTAGTACTGGTGCAATCAAGTTTCTACAATTAATAAACAAAAACAGTTTGGTTTTCTCCCGAGGAGTGAGTGAGGACTGTTTTATTTTTTATTTATATTTTTTTTGTTTTTGTTTTCAAGAATGGAGCAGGGAGCTATTATGCACAGGAGTAGCAGTGGGAGGTTCTCATCATATGAGAGGCTGGTGGTGATTGGCTTAGGCCTTCTTGCTGTGGTCTCACCTCTCTATATTGACCGGAGAACTGTGACTGAGCCAGAGCTTGATGAGCAGCCCATCAACATTTCTTCATATTTGCCTCTGCTGCTGTGGCTACTGATCATGGTCATCACTTTGTTGTGTTACTTGGAGCAGAGCTTTATCAGGTTTGACCCTTGCTGGATTTACAGGGTTGGTGGTTCTTCTGTAGGGATTGTAGTCATTCTCATGCTTCTAGCATTGATCTTGAAGTGTAAAGCTTCTACAACAACTTCTACCAACAACTGGGGAGGAGACTGAAGCAAGCACACACAGACACAGACATAGACAGAGAGAGCGAGAGTGAGAGCGAGAGCGACAGCGAGAGAGAGTCAACAGTCTATGTAATAGATATAAATAATGCATACCAAGGTTGTGGAGCTCTACTTCGTGTTTTAAGAACCCCTGAGAATTATTTTCTCTGCTTTTATTTAGGATATCTTGCAACAAAGAATACAGCCTTTTAATTCAAGTGAGTTTTTCTCACCTTCTTATTTATGATGTTCTTGTTTCGGTTTTTTCATTAGTTAACATGACCTCAATACGATATGCTATAAGAAAACTTGACAGCTCTGCAACTAGTGCTCCCTTACTTTAGCATGTCAGGCATTTGTTGACACCACATTTGTTGAATGCCTCCTTACTCTTTAGTGGGAATCTTGTGCACATCCTGTTTTTGTAGGATTTTATAATTGAACTTGAAGGCCAACATCATCAAATCTAAGGAACCAATGATAGAACATCATTGGCCACCGTATTTCACACTTCCTCAATCATTCTCAATCAGTGGTAAAAGCCAACCAAAATTTCATTGATCATTTGTGTTGAGCCTGTGGAAACAGCTGTCTCCATTCTCAATATTAGCCAAAGCTCGTCACTGTTGCATTTCTTAGTCCATTATGTATATTTAGGACCTTTAATTTCCAAGTCCATAAGACTTGACTCTACACTCTGAAACCATCTAATGGAATAATTCAATTCTCCTGCTCTGCATTCTGCATCCCCTGTTGTTTCCCCAAATTAATAGACCCCACTTCATTGAAGTCCCCAATACAAAGCCGGGAAGGTACCCTAGTCTTTAATGCTATGTTTGGTTGGAAGATTTGTGAATGGATTTGAAAAGGAAAAAGAAAAATGTAGGTAAAATATAAATAAAATATACCTTCATTTCACATAGTTTTACACACTTTTTCAAATCTCCCAACCAAACACAATATAAGGGAGGCTTGGGAGTTGGGACTTGGAGGTCTTGAGTTCGCCTCTCACTAGCAACAACTCTTGTCTTGATACCAATGAGTTGTAGGTGGTTAATCCCTTCTGTAGAGTGCCAACTTTATTCTTCAAATTTGTAGTTTCCATTAGGAAGACAATAACACAGGCATTCAATCATGTTTTCCAGTGCAAACTAAATTTGAAGGTGCACAGTCATGGTTCATTTGGGAAAGCTTCAATCTAAAACTCAGCTAATGGTCGACTATTTAACCAAAGTCCAACCTTTGTAGAGTCAAATATGCAAAATCATTTCTTCAAAAATTAATTCATGACTGTACCTTAAAAATTATCCATCTAAAACTATTTCCCACTGAGGAGATCACATAGCCAACAGCATTTACAAGGGAGAACAAATATCTCAGATATATGTTGGGAAAATACTCCATATTCTTACACTGAAAAATGGATGGAAGTAAGATACAGCAAACAAATTGCAAAGCGAAGCAAACAAATACAACAAAAGGAAAGAAGCCCTCAAATCAAATCAATAACAATCCAAATTCCATAAGGACGTGGTCATAATCCGAAGGCATAACTCACCGCAATTAAAGCTCCAACAACAATTGTCCAGACATGAGGAGTTTGAGACCAATCATCAGCACCACTACAATCATCATTGGCACCACTAAAGCATCCAGGTCTAGATACCTTTGCTACACCTCCCTCCAAAACAAAGCTGCTGTTGGGCTTGCCACTGCTGAACAGAACACACCAGAAATAGGGAGACCCACCATCAGAACCGCTCACAGCAGACCCCAATTCAGTGTGATTCTTATTGTAGAGTATTTCCAAGCTCTTGTTGTTTTTCATCAGAATTTCTGAGAATGCCTCTGAAGGATGTACATATTTGGACTGGCAGCCAAGCAAACGACCGGTAATTGGGGAGAGAGTAGAAGCGGAAACACCACAGTTAGGGGCAAAAGTATCAGCAAATTCAGAGTCAGCAGGCTTCTTGGCATCAGGTCCTCCCACTTGGTCACATTGACCTTGATATGCTTTAATGTACTGCAGGGCAATGCATGCTAAGCCCGGATTGTCAAAGAGAGTTGATCCTTTATTTGCAGTTCTATTACTGTTAAGTGTGGCGACGAGGTCATCTGCTGGGTTATTTGTCACTTTTACTGTTGTTTTTTCGTTGACAATGCAAGAAGCAAATGATAATTTTGTTAGAGGCTGAGAATGACAATATTAGTAAGCTGAATCTTCGTAACAGATAAAAGGCAAGAAAGGGTTTTGGAATAAGCAGCATGAATTTGACACCTCATAAATGAGAAATTGGCTTAACATGTGACACAGGATCTCAAAATAGCAAACATGCTTTGCCATCTTTAATCATGTGGAACATAAGTGGGGAATGTGAAATGTAAAAATCCAATTAAATTGGACATAACATAAAATGAAAGGGGATAGTGGAACTTTAAGTGCCTCAGGTAAGAAATCTAAGTACCTTGAGAGAGCATTCCACAGGACGGCATCATACTGGACTAATGTGTAGGTTTTTATGAAGTACAAATTGTAAATTGGACACCAATGCAAGACAATATGGGTGCCTATTAGAGGCATTCTTAAATGAGCCTTGAGAACATTTTAAGATTTGAACCTTGGTTTCTACCACAAATCCATTCTTTCATAAATGATTCTCATTTTGATTTTATTGACTGGAAAAAAAAGCAAAGTTAGGATAAAAATATGGGGAGTCCTCCCTGTTGCGAGATTGAATTGCTCTAGAGGAAGACAGCAAATGTGGGTGTGTCTTTAAGAGAGGGAGGCATTCCTAAATGAGGCTTGGGAAGATTTCAATCTTTGGGAGCAAGACTGCTTTTACAATAACAAGGATGTGGGTTGTCGGTAAGAGAGGCATTCATTCATTCATTCCTGATTGAGTCTTTTGGAAGATGTGCATCTTAGGGAGCAGGACTATGTCTGTAACTGTAAGAGGCATCTTTAAATGAGCCTTGGCAAAATTTGAAATCTATGTTAAAGAGTACGATTCTAGCAATGAGTTGTGTGTGTTTAGGTGGAAAATCAGCCAAAAAAGAAAAAAAACTACATTCAGAATATTGGAAGAGATTTATTTGGTTTGGTCACCAAAAAATACAAGAGAGAGATCCAAAATGCTCCTCCACCAAACCAAATAAATCTCTTGTATTGTATTGTAATTTATGAGACAAATATGGAAAAGGTTGATTGAGAGAGAGAGAGAGAGAGAGAGAGAGAGAAGAAGAAGAAGAGAAAACTTACTTTGTACATTTGCAGAGGCAGAGCACAAGGGAGCAGCGACAGCAAGAAGAAGCCATAACAGGGTCATTGCCATTGTTGGAGAGAGAGAGAGAGAGAGAGAGAGAGAGAATGTGAGTTAGGAACTGGACTCGTCGGAGAGGAGATTGTCGGTGGATCTGTCTAGTCCACGCTACTTGTTATGCTAGGAGGAAGGGACGGTGTAGTTGGATTTTGGATCTGATGTTTTAACTAAAATGGGCATGTGGCGTCTTTTAAATTGCAGAAATGCCACCAACTGAGTCTTTTGAGTCCCTTGTCCGAGTCGCACAGATGAAAAGCGTCATATATATCACAACCAAAAATGATTTGGACCACTACAAAAGGACCTCTAATGCATTTTTAATTTGTCTTTTTTTTTTTTCTCTTTTTTGTCTTTTATTTCACTGTTTTGTTTTGTTTTGTTTTTTTTTTTTTAGGTGACAGCTCATTAGAGCTGCACTGTTGCAGCTCTAATTAGAGCTCCGGAGCATGACCCATATCACAACAACGTCAGGTAGGGCAAAATAAATAGGGAAGTGATTGAGACCCCCTCTAATCACTACTCTTATCATCTCTACACACATGTGGCAGGTGGTGATTGGAGAAGAAGGAAAAAAAAAAAAAAAAATTGGCCAATCAGAGAGAGAGGGGGTCAAGGAGGTGCCTCCTTGAGGGGGTCCAACTCATTTTCTAAATAAATAATGTCTCGTTTGAGAACAAGTGTTTTTTTTAGTAATTTTTTGATTTTTTGGTTAAAATATAATGTAAAAAAAAATTAATATGTTTGAGATATTTTTTTTAATTTTTTACGAAAAGATTTATAAAAAAAAAAAAAAGAATCTTTAACTTTTTAATATAAATTGTTGATTTTTTAATTTTTTTTTTGACTTTTTATCTAAAAAATCACTTGCCAAATGACACATAAGTTTATATCGCCAAACCAAATCCATGACGATGCATCCCACTCCCACATAAAAGAAAAGAAACCTCAAAAGAGTTAAAGCCCCTCTCCCTCCCTCTTTCTTTTTCTAAGGAGTAGAGAACACTCCGGGAGCATGATACAGAGCGAGACAGAACCAACTTAACTCAAAGGGCACGTTTGATTGGGTGGATTGGAGCATAAGATTGAGATTATTAATTCGTAGGTCCAATTATTTTATGTTTATTTTAATATTTTGATTTAGAATTATTAATTCAACAAATTTGTAGGATTATTAGTAATGAGGTAGGGATGAGATTATTAATTCAATACATATTAATCCAATTGAATAATGAATACCACACTAATTTAATAAAATTATTAATACTTCACTAGTGATCTTGTGAATCAAATAGGATGAAAAGATATAAATGATTGGTTGGTGTGCACGAGTTAGCACTGGGCCCTTTAATTCAACTATCCATACCAGAACCTATCTAAATCAGACTAGTGTGAGAGAAGAAGCATGGTTCCACCAGAATAATAATAATAATAATAAATAAATAAATAAAAAGAGAAAAAAGAGAAACATGAGAGTAAGTAGGTGATTGGTCTCTATCTATCTCTAATCTATGCATCTCCCTTTGTTTTCCATCATATTCAATCCCACTGACAATTTACCGGCCAAGTTGGTTATCTTCTTCTTTGTTTTTTGGATTTCGGCCCAGTTTGCGTCACTGTCCTAAGAGCATGCATTTTAAAATAATTATGGGCCTGTTTGATTTGTTTTTGTGAGAGTTGTTTTTGAAAAAAAATTTCAAAATTTTGTTTGATTTGTAATTTTTTTCAAAAAAATTTCAAAATTACTTTCTATCTCTTACACATCAATCAATCACTTTTTCTCTTTTCTTTCTTTTTGAATCACTTTTTTTTCTCACACACATCTACTCAATTATAACAAAATATCAAATCATTCCAAACTCTCAAATTCCAAAACTACTTTCAAAATATACAACCAAACAAATCAAAAAAATATTCTAAACTCACTCTCCAAATTTTTTTTTTTGAAAATCACTCCCTAAAAAACAAACCTATATATTCTTTATAAGATGCATTTTCAAAAGTAAATAAATATATATCTATATAAAAGCAAGTATTTTAAGCATTTAAGAAGTTGCTCAAAAATATCCTTTTTATCTGTTCTGTGGTTAATAGATTGTTTTTCTTCCATTCCATGCCATGCCATCTCAACTATTTTTTGTGGAATTCAATTCACATCTCATGCTATATAGCTTGATTACAAACTAGAAACTTCGCAGGGCTGTAGTCTGTTGTAGTACACACTATTATGCTCCAAATTGGGTGATGCCAAAGAACATTTAATCGCATCCATTATTAATTATTTTCATAATATACTAATAATCTCATGAAAACCAGCCCTACTCCTTTACATCTCCCAAAACTTTTAACCTGATGATGATGCCAAACAAATAATAATGATTTATAAAATTGTGAAGAAAATTTTATTGTACCAATTACATCAGAGAGACCAGAAACAACAGTACATGAAGTACTCAAATACACCTAAAAACAACAGTACCACCAACAAAATGGAGACCGACCACCCACACATTTCTCTACAACAATACATAAAATAAAATAAAGAAGAGTGCAAGCAAAAGCAAATAAGCACTCAGATCAGATTACACCAAATTCTCAGATAACATCACATCACATCACATCATATCATGTAGGTGACAGGCTGTTAAAGATGCGCTTCAAACTGGGGCATGCTGCCCGTATCCTCACCATGCTCAAGGGGCATATCTACAAATCACCACAAAGAGAATATTTACCAAATGAAAGAGAAATGGGCTGAGGAACAGGCATTCTGTAGCAAATACAAGGAAAGATCATTGAATTTGCTTGTTATTGCGAAAAACTTCCGTTCATTTTCTCACCTTTGGACAAAAGCGGACATCAAGTGTCTCGAGTGCGTTGCATTGCGATACAGCAGCTTCAACCGTTTCTTCATCAATGTTGCATGACTAAGAATGGACACAGAAGAAGACAAACTTCAACAAGCGGGAGATTCCAAGGCCATATATTAACCACCAATGAAAAAAATGAAACGATAGTACAAATAAAAATCAGCAGTCGAAATGCTTTTTTGCATAGATAACAAGTAAACAAGCCCAAGGCTATTTTTGTGGTCCAAATAAAATGATGAGACAACTTCCCCACAAAGGAAAAAATAAATTAAAACTCATATTGAAAGAGTCAGTACAAAAACATAAGCATGTATATCAAATTTTTTTTATTTTATTATTATTTTTCTTTGTTAAGTAACATAAGCATCTATATCATAGTGGCAAGAAAGTAGTTCTCCAAAAAATCTTAATTAAAATAGATGCAAGTGCAAGGAAATATATCACTGTAACTTCTTTCTCTCTCTCTCTCTCTCTCCCCCACACACACTCAAGACACAAAAAAATAGGATACCGAAAAGAAGAAAAAAAGACTGGTATGGTTAAAACTATCAGAAATAGACTTCCCATCCAATATATCTTTGACTAAAAGCCTCAGGCACTTCAAAAAAGACAGGCACACACCCTGTCTCTCTATCACACACATAGATGCACCAACTTACAAACACATACACATGCGCACAGAATATGTATGATAAAGAAGTACAGCCAAACCCAAGAAATAAGGCAAAACAAAAAATACAAAAGGCATACCTGAAGAAAGAGGCTAGACAACCTTGGACATTCAAGTTTTAAAATTTCCAAGGAGCAACAATTGCTGAATAAAATAACAGAAGTAAAAAAATATGAGGATGGAACGGTATTAAGAAAAATTAACAAATAAAAACAGCAATAGACCAAAAATAAATAAATAAATAAAGGTAGATAAAATTGTACCTCAAATTAAGAAAGCATAAATTGAAACAAGCAACATCAACTTCTTTCAGATTTGTGGACAGGGAAAGATTTAGTGATGACAAATGGAAGCACCGGGCTGCTGGAGGAATGAGAACTTTCTTAACGTTTGGACAACCAACACAATTGAGGTTCTGCAGCAAACGGTCGGCCTGTTCAATTGGCAGGGGTAATTCATCTAGAGAAGAAAAGTCAGATGAACCACAAATGCTAGGCAGCTCAGAAAGCTGACCACTATTTAAACCCCAATTCAAGTCATGCATATTCGCACATCCATTCAAGCTCACATGAGTTAGATGAGTGCAGCAAGCCAGAAGCTCCTCAATGGCCGACTGACAGAGGGTCCCATACGACAAATCCAACTCACAAAGGGCTGGGAGAGCACCTTCTTTGTAAAGAGGCTCCAATGATGAGTCAGCAAGATATTTGCATGCCTGCAATTTTAAAACCTTGCAGACGACAAGAAAAGGAAAGAAACAGTTCAAGCAAAAATGGAAAAGACAAAATAATAATAATTATAATAACCACCACCACCACCAAGGAGAAAACTTTGCTGACTGGATTAAAAGGCTTTATTAATAAATAAAAATTATTTATTCACTCCGTGTTTAGTAGGCAGGAAATGAAGGACAGAATAAAACTCCTATTCCCATTCTGCCCGATTCCTATGTTTAGCATGCAGTGTTGTTAGTAGGAATGACATTCCTCCAAGAATGGGATCTCACTGTGAAGGAATGTCATTTCCACCCAAGCTTGGTAATCCAATTCCTAAATCAAAACATTGTAGATATTTAATTTTTTAATTCCAATGAAAAGAAAAAAAGAAAAAAAGAAAAGAGAGAAGACGAAATAGAGATGAGATGACCTAAGAAAAGAACAGGAAGCCCTACCCTCCTCCACACATCCTATTTATCAGCCAGTGGTTGAAATGGCTAATATAAGATTAAAGCAACTAAGAAATCTCAGAACAATGTCCATCAATGAACATATCTATACATGTACGTGTTTAACACTTATACATGGAAACATGGGGTTCCTGTCCCATATTTATACTGAACAAGTTCATATACTTGAAAAATGAAACGCACCTTCAACTGCAAACAGGACTCAAAAACAGGCTGCAAGTTTGTCAAAAAGGTATATGATAAATCCAGTGAGGTCAAATGTGGAAGCCAACGCAAAGAAGAGAGACCATCAGAACCAACAGATGGGCATGACATTAATATGAGTGATTCAATGAGAGGGCATGATGCAGTTGTTGCAGACAGGCAGTCATCCTTCAGTTGGCTGCACAGGTGAAAACACAATAGTGTCAGGCTGTCAGCTTGAGCATGAGGGGAGGAAGATATGTAAGAAGAGGGAAAGAACAAGCGGGAGTAAGAAGGATGTGGTGGGAAAGAAAGGGGGAAGACTATGTTGTAACATGACCTGCAAAAGGAAGCATCCAGAGAAGTTAGGAGAGGGCAATTAATAGATGCCTCAGATAATACACCACATCCTTTCAACTCAACCAACACCATGCATGGTGCTTCAATATGGAGTACAGTCAGTTTAGGACATATTCCCAAATTAAGAGACTGGAGACCAACCTGCAACAAAAACAAGCAGTCAGAGCTTTTTTACAGGTAATTCCAAAAGCATAAACTATGCGTATCAAATGTCGGATGTGAAACACAATGTAAAAAATGTCAATAAACAGATCAAACCAGGTACAACTACACCAAAACAACCATATTTATTAAAAGGTAGGTGCAAAACAAAGTTTTAAAAGGCATTTGCCTTAGGTGTGTCTTGTACACCTTTTGTGCATAAGCATACGAGGAGAACGCACATGAAGAGGTTGCCTTAGGCTTTTGTTAAACATAATGTAGTAATGGTTTAAACATAGAAAAGCCACAAAAAAAAAAAAAAAAAAAAACCCTTTTTGCAACTATATTCTATAGGAATAAATAATCAATCAAGAAAAAACACAAAGTTAATACTCATGTGAGAAACTTAATCACTAAAGCTAAGAATGCCAATTTAACTTTCAATGAAGACAAGCTTCTTTTTCTGCAGTGAAATGTTCAATGCCTAAAAAAGTATTTACTCCATATTTATTTTTTACTATTTTAAAATATTTAATTTATTTACTAAATATTAAAATTTAAATTCAAAATGCTTATGCCTCGACACCTTGAGCCTTACGCCTCGCCTCATGAGGGGCAAGACACCTCGAGTTACACATTTGCCTTTAAAAAACTTTGGTGCAAAGGCATCTGAATGTCCAGTACGAAGGTATATGAATTCTTCAAATAGCATAAAATGTGAACAGAAAGTGGCTATTATGTTCCACGAGAAATTGGTACCAACAGGATATAGCAATTCAAGAATGATACATAAGCTTCCTACTTTTAAGACAGGAAAGAGGGGGAAGAAAGAGGAAAATGCAATTGCTTCCACTCACAGGGCAAAATGATGCTCTTTCAAGATGATCACAGCCATCCAAAGAAACTTTCTCAAGATACGGGCATTTGAGTTCAAGAGATGTAACAGCACGGCAACCAGCAAGGGAAAGACTGACTAATGAAGTACTACAGAATCCCACAGCTGTCAAGCTCTGAACAAAGAAAATGAACCACAGTTAGTTATCATTACAATTACAACAAAAGGAAGGGGTGAATTCAAAAAAGAAAAGACAGATTGCAGTATCAGCATCAACCATTTTGCAGATCACCACGGTCCAGCAATCGCATGCCTATCCAAATTACAAAGCCAAAGCAACTAGCAGAACTAATAATCTCTACTATATGGAAATCTACCCCAAAATGCTGAGTTCATCCATAACCTTTAAGCACCTGTTTTGGTCTAGTTTTTGAAAACTGTTTGATGTTCTTGGAAACCAAAAAATGAGAAAGAAACAGAACACATGGGAAGAAGTATGTCCGTCAAAATTTCCTGAAAATAGCAGTTTAAACAGCTTCCATTGTTTTCCAAAGCTTAGGCTCATTAAGGACTAATGAAAATGATTGTTTTAAAAAAATTTATCGATTTCATTTCCAAAGACAAGAAAACAAAAACCTAAGGAGAGAAGTAAGAAAACCTAGTGTAGTAGACTATATTCACCAGTGGAGGAAAAGCAGGAGTATCAGATATGAAAGGGGGGAAAAAACAATAAACCATGTCAACCCACCACAAATGTCAACTGAACAAGCAAAAACAAGCGACTTCAACTAAATAACAAAAGCCAAAAAAGGCAAAGAGTTATAGTTCACAAACCTCGCAGTTATCAAGAACTAATGATTTTAGCATAGGGCATGCACCACCGTCACTGAAAACTTCGCATACAGAATTTGTTAAAGATTCACAATCTGCAAGGTCCACCTCTTGCAAACACTGGCATTGCAATGCTAAAGTTGTCAAGCTTTCTTGCTTTTGCAGCACTAATTTCTGCAACATAAAACCAAGAAACCTTACCTTCAAGATCTATCCTCTTCAAAAACGAAGGACCATGGGGGAAGAAAATACATAAAAACATTTAATGAAAGACATACTTGTAGTGAATTTGATGTGATGTTAATTTGTTGGAGTGAAGGGCAATTTGACACTGTAACAGATGACAGCATGATACTTCGTAAATTTAAATCAATGAACCTGCAGGCAATATTATAACATTAGTCACACTAACTAACAAGTACCAAAGTTCACCAAAATAGTTCCCCTACAAGACTCTGAGGTTGGAGTAGCATAATTTACTTGCGACAATGGACAAGTCTTATATTCTGCAGGCGTGGGAGATCCAAGGACACCGACGCCAATAAACTGCAATTGTCAAGCTCCAAGACCTACATCGCAATAAAATTGATTTCATTAGTTTCAGACTATTCGTACATTGAATCAAGTCTAGGCAATGCCAACTTCTGAGATAAGAGGGTTCAAACCTCCAACATATAACTATGAGATATTGCTGCCATGGAAGCAGAAGTAATGCCGTCGCAACTGTGAAGCTTGAGAACTGTCAACATGGGCAGTCTTACAGACTTCCAAGAAAAGCAAAAAAGCAAGTCAACTAATGGAAGCATTTTCAAACATAACCAGAACAAGCATGGTGAAAAGCTAGATCACTGACCTCAAGAGAGATGTTTGGGCAGTATGAAGCATTAAGAACATGGAGATTACCACAAGTAAGGGCAATTTCGCGTAGTGTTTCATCACTCACACATGAACAATTGGACATATCTAAAGACTCTAAAAGTGGGCATGATGTTGCTGCTGAACGAATTGCAGCATCTGAAAACTTGTGGCAAGAGGCTATATCAAGATCACGCAAAAGAGGGCAGTTGAGCACAGCATGAGCCATACTACTGCGCTTTAAAGACAAGGTTTCGAGTTGGGGGCACCTGCAAAACAAGAAACTTTAGCACAAATTCTGAACAGATTACTATATATCAAACTTTTTCCAATTATTTACAACTGTACCACCTGACAGAAATACGGAGCACTCGGCATTTCACAATTTGAAGTTGTCTCAGTCTATCATGGTATATAGGTATCTCTTGAATACCATTACCAAGGGTAGCATCATTGATAACCAGACTCTTCAACAGTTGGCAATCTGTTAGGGCTTGAAAAAAAGTTTCCCCTATTTGTCCTTTTCCCAAAGTTAAAGCCTCAAGATTCCTGAGAAGCATCACATATATCAGCAACAATCATAACAAAATTATTCTAGTATTCAACAAGATGAAAAGCCACATACCTTAATGATGAAACTGCTTTCATAACAAGGGAATGAGTAGCAGGGGCACCATAAATGTTCACTTCAGTGGCATTTGGATAACGACGACACATATCCTCAACTGTAGGTGCACATAAACAGTAGGCATTTGGTTATATTGCACAATAAATAACCAAAAGTATGCTCTATTTAAGCTCAAAATAATAAGACAACAAACAAGCTACAACCTAAGTTTACTTGTCTACATTTACGTGATGTTAATTTACACAACTTCATCATGGTTTGGAACGCACAACTAGCTATTTAAATAACGCATTAAGTAACAATATAAAATTTTCACGTCATGATTAATTGAGAACAGTAGGGGAGAAATAAGTAAATGACCCAATAACAATAGGTTTACATCAAGAATCAACGTTAAATCATTACCTTTTTGCATTGGTTATGAATGAATATACTTGAAACATTCACGAGGCAATCCCTCGATGTATGTTATTTGCAGACAATATAGTTTTAGTTGACTACAAGAGAAATTGAAAAAAAAAAAAATTATGCTAGAATTGTTGTAGGAAGCTACATTAAAATCTGAAAGGCTCAAGTAAAGGGTTTTTTGGATGCCCGGTGTAACAAGAAAAGATAAAATAAAATAACACATCCATTAGGAAGAAGTAAAGACATGGCACCAATTGAAGATAAAATGAGATAAAACTGTTTGAGATAGCAGATCATGTACATTGTAGTGATGTAGATCAATTAAGGTTGTAAGGAGAACTGATCTCATCTATACGAAAGGTGGTAAAAGAAGTAGAGGGCCAGCAAGAACATAGGTTGAGGCAGTAAAAAATGACATAATTACCTAGCACCTTTTTTGGGTGAATAATTACCTAGAACTTAACATAGGAAATGACTTCATATAGAATCAATAAGAGGAAATGGAAACATGTAGCCGATCCCAAGTAATTGTGACAAACGCTTGATGAGTTGAGTTGATTTAATAAACTTCTCCACATTGACGGCTGAAATACAATCAAATAGATGACCAAATACAAAATGTTATCTCTCTCTCACACACACAGGTGCACATAGTCTCAACTAGCATACTCCTCACAAGCCCAGACATTAAGCATGCTCACTAGTGCATTTCTCTCAAAAACCATCATTTCATTTAATCCATGTACATTTAAAATCAAACAAGTTGATAAAACAATGCTCTTTTCAAATCATCATTATTTTTGATAAAACACCTATGTTGCTCATAAATCCACCCAAAATTGGGAGGGTGACGAAAGAATGGCTCGAAAACCTCCATGACTTGATTTCAAGTTTGAATTTTGGAAACTAAGAAAGAATGAGTGAGTGTGTATTAAATTTGAAGAGATGGGAGAGATTGCTAAAAAATTGAGGAACTTACAAAGCTTGTCAAATACTTTCTTACCAACAAATAATACCATTTGACCATTCAATTCAAGGTCAAGGTTTGTCATATAGAGATGTACACATATAAGGAAAGACTAGCAGGCTAAGCCAAAATTTGGGCAAATTGGAAAGAGAGTGGTATTAGGGAGGCTTAAGGGATGTTCAATATTCTGAGGACTTCAGAGATTCAGGAAAAAGTGAAGCAATTTTGATAGTTGAGGGGAGGAAGGTAATATTTAGTGATAGTTGAGGGGGGTGAAGTGTACTTAACCCTTTTTGCTAATAAATTTAACCCTTGTGTTTTCAAATATTATAATATGGGGCCGAATTAGCTTCCAAAAATTAAAATAAAACCTTGCCTTGTCCCACTTTGTCCCTGCCGTGTCCCAAGCGTGTCTAGAAAAAAAAAAAGTAACAAAAGTCACTCCACGTGGCGTGTCAGACACAGTGCCTACCATGTTTGTGTCCCATGTGTCCAACATGGCTATGACACCTATTTTGAAGTGTCGGTAATTCACAAACTAAGGGCAAAGCCATTGATAGAAGTGACCTCAACTAGGCCCTACTCTAGCCATCAATCCAACACACTCGGACATCCCTTCACTAGTCATCATGCCCTCAACGGGACCATGAGTTAGGAAGCACCTAGCCCCTCAGGCCTGCAGGCTGCTGCAGATCCAAGCAAGCAATAAGCACCAAAGTGAAAGTGCCAGATTGACCCCAAAGGGAAGCCACTATGGGATCAAGTCCCACACTTGAAAAGAATATTATGGGAGGCATTAACATGTTGGGGCACCAGTAACATATAGAGGAATAAATCCGAAATAGGTGAAGCATCTTCGTGGCAACACAGGATCCAGAAATGGATGCCCATATGTAAGATATCAAGATGCTGGAATGCTAATTTTCAACATCATTTTACACACTATGTAGATTCTTGTTGTTTCTAGTAACATAACCTTTGGCCTTGCACCCAACAATTGAGTGGTCAAAAATAAATTAATGCCCATATTAAATGCATCGGTAGTATTAATATCACAAAATTGAGGGTCCTGGTTCCACTTCCCTCGTAAAAAAACTTATCCCACTTTTTTCTGCAAATAACTTTGATATACTTATCACAGAATGTGAAAATTATGCATTAACATGGAATTTCCCAGGGATAAACCTCCACAAATCCTGGAAAAAGAGGAACAGGGTAAAAAATTTAATCACCTCCAGAAACCCATGAAAGTATTACTCATTATTAACATTCTAATAATGTCACCAGCCTTTAACATATAAATTGGGTCATTTCTAATCTGTTTGACAAGATCTCTTGTAAACCATGTGCTATCAATAATGAGTGGCATCAATTGCTATCATATTAGGGGGGGTACATAGGGTTGGAGTCCCAACTCCCAATAAAGGGAGAGGCAGTGGAATAATAGCTTATGGATGGAGGAGAAAGTATCATAACCACTAGCAGCAATTTTCACAAGGCATAAGCACATTTCAATTTCAAACTTTGCCACTACAAAAATGTTACTAAGTAAGCAAGGCAGTAATTGAGGATTAAATAAACGTAGCATAACACTCACATTGTTGCACAGATATGTTACGATTCTCAAAGTTCAAAACTCTCCAGAAATCTTCATGTGCACTAGCTGCCTGCCACTGCTTGCAGACCATGGCTGCCTGACAAAGGTCGATGTGTTTCAAGAAAGAGAATACCTGACAACCAATAAGACAATATGAAAACCATTATCAGACACGACCTAGAAGCAAGTGGCAAATAGTAATATCCTAAAACACAATGGATACCATATGTAATAAGTCATCAGTAAGATCCATTCGAACGTCTAAATCTTCCAACTTTGAGATATTGCACCCATCTCCTCCATCTCTCTCAGAATCAAGGGGATTCTCATCAACCCCACCATTTACAAGTGGAGAAAGGTAAAAGGTCTCATTCTTGAAGGAACACTCCTTAGTATTGTAGTCTGTCGTATGGAAATTGCAACTGTCGGTATCCGAAGAAGTTGTGGCTGCAAAATGGCACTCCCAGTCCCTGAAAAGGTACTCAACATCAGCATTCAAAAAGTCACATATAGTGTGTAACTACCAGTGTGCAACCATAAAAAAAACTTAAGGACAAATTCACCTGGAATGTTTGTTCAAAAAAATAAATAAAAATTCACCTTGAATGCAGATCATTCCAGCATGTGCAATGAGAAAGGGAAAATGGTTCGCCTCATGCTCTAGAATATACATGGGTAAACTACATAGATGCACTACTGAAACTTACTGAGCACTTGTAAATATGATAACCATATTTTTATTAATAATTAGACAAAAAACAAAACATAATCTATCAAACTACATTTTATTTAGTTTCAAGTTTTCTTATGTTCAGGTCAATCATATAAAAACACATTTCTAAGGGCATTGTCTTCCCAGCCAAACTACACGGGAAATAACATCAAATCAGACTACAAAAGCAGAGCAGTCAGTGCTCAGCACAAAAATCAAAATAAGTCGGTCAAAAGACACCTTATGTTGGGATGGATCTTTCTATATGGTTGATTATTCAACTAAGTGATTCCTTCAGGCATGGGACAAAGTCACAAAAGCCTACAGCCAAAACAAATTATGTGGTCACTGTAGAGTATAAACATCTAAATATGATCCCTAAGGCTCCATTCAATTGCTGAGAATATTGTACAAGAAAATATTTCTCGCAAAGTAAAGGTAAAGCAAAAATACAAATAACTCACTTTTCCATCGTTCATTTGATTTGCAGGGACGTGCATGCAGAAAACAGTTTAAACTTTGAACTTTCCCATAATGTGTAGCACCATACTTCTTACACAAAATGATGGAAAATGCTTCATTTAAGAAAACAATTATAGTGATTCCCACATTTTCCTGCAGTAACTGAACACGCATGTTACAAACAAAAACAGCTTTTATTTTCCATTTTCTTACATTTCCAGTCAATTAATCGCAGCCTAAAGGAGAAGTAACATTTCACCATCAGCACTGTATTTACAGAAGATTTGAAGTCAGAATTGTAGGTTGACATGATTTACTTAAATGGAAAACTAAAAGGGTTGCATATCCTTACTATGACAATCAGTTATGGTTCCCACAGAATAAAACGAATAATTGCGTAAAAATAAAAAGGAAAAGACAATTTCCTGGAAGTTTCATACTGCTGCCGGGCTGCCTAACCTCAACTTGCCTAGACTTGAGATAATAAAGTAGAATCAATTTATGAGAAATTTCAAATGCACATCAATATATGAATATTATACTTTGATCAAATAAGAAAAACATATAAATAATCACACACCACCATGGTAGTACTAAAATGTAACACATTGTTATGGTTTAGTACACAAAACGTTAATTCCACAAGTGTATGTTAGTGTCCAGCTCTGTCTATGAAAGTTACGAGAGAGAGAGAGAGAGAGAGAGAGAGGTCTCACAGAGAAAAGGAATGCACTTTAGGGCGTTTATTGTGGGAATCCCGATCAGTTTCCTCTCTGTCCAATGCTGCGGAGGAAGACGATGGGTCTTCACTCAAGCCCAAATTCAAATCAACATCCATGGCACCCTGAACGCTAGTAGAAGCCAAGGGGTCAAAAACCAGGGAGCTACCAACCGTGAAACCAAACCCAGCATCAGCAGTGGTAGCACCACCTGGCCCCTCTCTCTTCTCTCCAAGGTCACTCCTTGCATCAACCGCCACCTGTGACTGTAACTCATCAAGGCTTCCCAGCGAAAACCCTAGTAGAAAGCGCTCAGACTCGTCATTTTCCATATCATCATCCTCGGCCATGTCCTCGCATTCATTTCCGAAAGTGCCCTCCCTCATTGTCCCTTTCTTATTATATATAAGCTCCTCTTCTTCGCCGTAACAACAACACCAAATCTTCATGCAATCGCACAACAAACAACGATTACAGGCCCGAAGACCATGCCTTTTACAAACCCTAGCTCAATATCTAACACATTTCCTAAACCCTAACAACCAATTGCTGTGTCGAAGAAGAAACCTTAGAATTTTCGCATTGATTCCATATGGGAATCAAGAAGCAAAACATCTCATTCTTTTGCTTCATCGATCGGGAATGAAGATACATGCGAATACATACATAGAGAGAGAGAGAGAGAGAGAGAGAGAGAATCTGAGGAGTTGAGAGGGAGAGAAGTGAAGATAGATCTGATCTGATCGGATCTTGGGTTATTCTTCGTGAGTGAGTGGGCACCTTTTTCTTGTGCTTTTGAAGAGATCGGCGGTAATGCGATCCCCCTCGTCTCTCTTTCTTTCTCTCTTCTCTGATAAATCGCACTTGCACGCCTGTTAAACAGAGCACTGAAGCCCCAAATTTTATTTACAACTGGGTTAATTTCATGGAATAATTCCACCTATAAGTAACAATTTCATGGAATAAATCCGATACTCCTGTCTCACTTTTTTGGGTCGGTCTTCCTTATTTTGTAGGGTTTGAAAGTTACTATGTTAATAGTATATTTTAATTTTTAATTATTTTAATAAGTTAAATTTTTTATATTTTTAAAAGATAGTTAAATTTTTTGTATTTAAATATGATGTTTGTGAGAGAAAAAGTAAAATTATTATAAATTTGATGTGATATTTTATCTTATTAACTATTTTAATCTATTTTGCGGTGCTTTAAAAAATCGATAAAAAACTAAGGTATGTTTGGTTTGTGTTTGAGAGATGTGTTTTAGAGATAAAAAGTACGAAAACATGTTTGGTTTAGTTTTTTTTAAAAGATGTTTTGGAAAATTATTTTGAGATAGAGTTTTGGAAAAAGTGATTGATTTGATATGTGTGAGAGAGAGATTTGTTTGGAAAACTTGTTTGGTTTACAAGTTTTGAGAAATTTTTTTGGGAAAATTTGTTTGGTTTAATTATTTTTGAAAACTTATTTGTAGAGAAAATTTCCCAAAATTTTTTCAGAAAATCAAACCAAACGAGCCCTAACTTTTTGATTTTTTTTTAATTAAAAAAAGTTGGTCTTTGTTGTGACTTTTTAGTATAAAAAAATTAAAAAGCCCAAAAACAAGTTTTTTTGTATTGTTCCCAAAATACACCTTTGTCATTTTGTAGATTTTAGCCCAAAAAAAAAAAAACTTTGCCAAACACCCCCTTTATCTGTTCTAAAATGTTTATTTATTTATTATTTTTGAATACTAAGCCTCCGTTTGGGAAGTGGGTTGGCTTTTTGGCTTTTTGGCTTTATTGGCTATTTTAGCCTGGGCTTAAAAGCTTGGTTTGGGAAGGGCTTTTTGGCTTTTTGGCTTTTTTGAGTTTTTTTGTGAGAGAAGAATGTAATGATTATGGGTTGGATGTGATGTTTTGTTTGTTATGGCTAAAATAGCCTATTTTGTCTTTTGTGGCTAAAATAGCCAAAAAAGCCCAAGAACCAACTTGCCAAACAGAGGCTAAATTTTGTTATTAGATTTTCAAAATTATCCATTATAAATCATTGTAAATACATTTTAAAATTTAAATAGAAAGGTAATAGAGGAAAACTATTTTAAAATTTGAATTATGCTGTAATGATTGTATGTCTCTAATTTTTTTTTTATAATAGATAAATAAATTAGAACGGAGTGAGGTCGACTGTTTTTTTTTTTTTTTTTTTTTTTTTAAAAAAATTTTTTTATGTATCAAAAAAAATGATTATAAAAAAAATAGCCCTATTTGATTTTGAATTTTCAAAAATAATTTTTTAAATTTGAAATTCATACTTTTATATTTTTTGTAAATTTTTTAAATATTTTAATCATCTCTTTTTTTTTTTTTTTTAAACTTTCTAGATCTACTTAATCTTTATATATTTGAAGAGTATAATTTTTTTGTTAAAAAAAATTAAAATTAATTAAATACAACAAAATACGAAAATATATTAAAATTTTATTTCTTATTTTTTTTGTTTTAAGTAAAATTTTTAAATTTTTTTCATAAATATTATACTTTTTTTGTATCTAAATTAGGTGAATTTAAAAAATAAATAAAATTACATAAAAAAATTACAAAAAATCAGTAAAAATTTTAAAAAATTAAAAATTAAAAATTTAATTTTTAAAAAATTATTATAAATTAAAAAACCTCCATATTATACCTTTTGAACATGTATGTTTTTAGGAACTATTGTTAGGGACTGCTTAGGAAGTGAGAAAATAATCAAAAAAATTAGGGTGATGCACCAATAAATCCTAAAATTAGAACTTATGATCTGTTTAGTCCTGATTTTTTTCATAGACCATTAAGTCTTATTATAATGGATTTTACATATAAGGACAATAACTAAGTAGGGCGTGCGTGGAATATTAAGGGATAGTTAAGGTATTTTAGTTTGAGTGACTTTACAAAATTGGGGCTTCTTTAATAAATGCTTTTTCTTTAATTTGACGGTGAAGAATTTGGAAAGATTTTGAACTCTTGTGTAACATTAGCTAAGAACATTGTGGGATGGGGATCAATGTAGATGGAAATAATTTTTTCCAAATGTTAATTTGGTATTACTTAGGAATTTGTGTTACCCACACATACATTGCCAAAACCATAGAACGCAACCCCAAATGTGACATTGTTGCACGACAAAAGCGATCGGCGACAACGAGGAGTGAGTGCTTCGATACGTGGATTAGAACTGGCAATCGCGGTGTGGACGCACGACAATGACACCTTTAGGTGTGTATTTATATTATTACGTTTGTCGATTACAAAATAGGGAGGTAGTTTTCATGTGGGGGTTTCGGATGTCATTTGTTTTCAATGCTGTGTGCGTTGATGTTGTTGACATATTATGGCATGGGTGGGTTTGTTAGGTTATGATAGAGATTACTTTAGTGTGCTTTGTCAATGTTAATTCAGAAATGTTAATATGGAATGTGTAGTCTGATACTCCTATGTTATGTATGACTTGATGGTGAAACAAAGCTTACATTTGTATGAGTATGACATTAGTTTGATGCTCTGTTTTGGTAAGTGGTTGTATGTGCCCTGTGCTTGCTTTTGACATGTAGAAAATGGTTGTTAATGTACATTGTAATGTGAATATACCATGCAAGAATGTTAGACCCAACTGGAGCTTACTGTGATGTGTTATGTGTGCGACGATGTGGGGTGTGTTTATAGGGAAATTTTGACGAATGGAATTGTCGCATAACAGCGACATCAGGTGACAGTGATACGGGGGTTGGAGTGTATGCTAAAGAATGTATGATGTGGGTGGGGCTATTTGGCATGGCATTGGATAGTAGTGCTAGTTTTTATGTGGATATAGTTATTAAATGTTAATGTGTAACTGTGTAGTACCAATTGTGAAATTTGGGTTTGTGATAATGGGTAACATGAAGCAGACATTATAGTTAATCAGAAAAAGAATCTTTAGCAATGCCAAACAATCAATGCCCATTACAAAATGATTCGACCAAAATATGAAAAATACATCAGAAAAATGAATCAAAAAAGGGTAATCATGTAAATTTCAAAATCACCCAAATATGACTTTTCAAAAAAAATAGAATTAATTGGTCTATAAGAACACTCTTACGACTAAATAGAACAACTTTATCTCATATGGGATTTATGAGTAAATTTTTCTTTAATTTAATTTTTTGTAATTACAGCAAAAAAATGATTTTTCTTGTGTAGAAAACTCAATTCATTTTTCTCTCATAGCCCTTAGTTATCACCGTTATAACTGGCGGACCCAAGGAGTGGCTAGGGGGCCACAGCCCCTGCTAGGATCAAGAGAGTTCCATAGTATGTAGTGTTTTGGTCCATTGACTTGCAAATTGCAATTCTAATAAAAAAAAAAAAAAACAATAAACAGCCCCCCCTAAATATTGAAATATTAAAGTATTATAAACCTAGTAGTTTTTAGTTATAATTAATGGTTTTGATCAACCAAATATACCACGTGAATCACAACGCGGCATAGAACGCGTTACCACTTTGACCCGAGTAAATCGACACTCGGGGCCCACCTAAAAAATAGACCGAACTTAGGAAAAAATTTTGGTTTTATCCAGAATTTTATAACCATTTCCAACAGTTTTTAGTTATAATTTATAAGAGTAATGCTACATGTATTGAATTTTAGCTTGTTTTAATTGCTCAAATTTGTGCATGCCAGTCATCCGACCAATCATTCAGCAGTAAGGGTGACAATCGCAAGAGTGATAACCGCGATACACAAATTTAGACAAGTCTGGCAAACTCTAATTTGGCGGATAAATTATTTTTGAATTTGTAGTTGTGTTTAATTATGAGTTATTGTGATTGTTTCTAATAATGAATCTAGAAATGTTCAGTTATGACATACAATGGTGTCAGTTATGAACCAATTGGATAACCCATATTCATATATATATATATATATATATATATATTATATATATATATATATACTAAGGCCTCTTTTGAAAAGATGGCTAAAAGTCAAAAGTCAGTTTTTAACTTATTTTGTGTCACATTATCTCTTTACTTTTTTACACGTTTTTTAAAAAAAAAAATAATAAATCAATTTTTAACCAACTTAACAAAATAACCCTAATTCTAACAATTAGCAATTATTTAAAAAAATAAAATAAAAAATCTAACAACTAGCAATGGAGATTGCTTATGTTACGCACATTTTTGTAGGGATATGTATTGTATTCTCCAATGTTAATTAACATCATGTTTCGTAATAAGAAAATAATATCTATATAATCATTTTTCTTATTTTTTATTTTGTAAATCTTAATATTGATTGAGAATTTTATTTATGAATTTAATAATATTTTTAAATTTGTATGCTTATAAAAATATATCTTTCAATATAATTTAGATATAATACTTTCGCTACAGATAAAATAATTAAAACTTTATTTTAAATTCTGAGTATATATTTCTTACTAAAATTCCTACGTATAACCATTATCATTCACCACTTTTCACTACCGTCAACACTTATCACCAGCAGCATCTATTTTTTTAAAATTAGTGACATGGGAAAACCCATAAAGGTTATAGCCCACCGTTTGGGACCCAATACATAACTCAAATATTAAGGCCCAACGTTGCTGGAGCTCAACATGGCATTAAGAACCAATAACACCTAAACACGTGGCAAGAGAAGGACAAGCCACGTAAGTAGACAAAGATCCTGCAAAGTTATTGCACTGCACATCAGCCATTAATGAAGGCCCTTACAGCATTTATTGCGATAAGCCCTCCCCGTCAAGACAGAACGGCCTCACCATAAACAAGGCAAGCTAGAGCATAGACTTTCGGCCATGGCGACAGGTCGGAAGGGACCACGAAATGATTACCAGAGGACATAAGTAGACGTCGAAGACAAGAAGAAGGTAAAGCTTTCTATCTCTAATCTATCTCTACATTCC